ACACACGCACACACACACACACACACACACACACACACACATATATATATATATATATATACATATATAATACATATATATATATATACATATATCTTTATTATCTATATATATATATATATATATCTATAAACAACCAGGAATTCGAGCCATAACTTTCCGCAGGTGGGATTCACTTATAGCACATCCCAAAAAATTACATATATTTCTATCCCAATAAACACACACACGCCGAATTCTGCAAAGAAATGGGCAATATATCGATGGCAACAGCTGCAAACGACCACGAATTTGAGCCACACCTTTGCGCAGGTGGGGTTATCTTGTAGAACCGGGATGTAGCTATTTTTGAGCGCCTGGAATACCGGGCCTGCTTCGTGCTGACAAAGCACAAGTAAACACTGCACCAAGTCTACCAGTGGATACGAGATTCTGGGGAAGTCTCCTATCTCAGGGTGTTTGCTGATGACTCGAGAGAAGGCTGTGTTGGCGGATTGCAGATCTTGCAAACTGATAAGCCTGGTTCGAAGTATGGATGAATGGGAGAGAAAGTCGCTTGCTATAGTTAGCATGACGAAGACATAAATAGTCTTGTAGTAAATTTGGAGTAATACTTCACAAAAAACACATCTCCCAATAGATAGACTCTCGCATTGTATCAAACTTGTGCATGATATGTACAAATCGCACTATAGCATTTATAAATACCATACTTTAGTAAGGGCTGAGCAATAACAGAGTCCACGTGACGGTCATCGCCAGCGGATTCCAACGCACACTGCACCAGCACATCTCCTAATGCTCTGGCACTCACATCCGTGCCATAGATCAAGTGGCTGATGGCCTCTACATAGCTCTTTTCTTTGTAGTACTGCATGCCGAACAAGTGGTGCAGCTGCGGGTCTCCCCGTGTATTGGTACCCTCGTCTACCGTCCAGGCTAGTGCACGAGCTGCGGGGTCAAAATGAATTGTATTAGATCATATATCATAAAATACGAACGATAGGTTATGTCTGAATATGCATGATGAGGCGTCTGACAGCTTAAATGTAACTCTGTAACTTGTAGGTACTGTACCCCGAACATGTAGTCCAATGGCGGGCCACCCCCAGTATGTTTTTTGTCTCCAGCGAATTGTATTCGTAAAGAAGCACTCGCGGGATATCTTCACACTTGAAACACTGCTACACCACCTACAGTCATCAATACTGACAGAACATCTGAGGTACTTACTCACAAAGCGCTCGCGGAGTGATTCGGTTGCGGGAATCAGAGGATAGATGCTCGTAATGCGTTCCCTCGATTCATCGTTGACCTCTGTGTGAGTGTTGCTGTACACCTCGACAATAGTCAGCGCCAGGTCACAGCCGCTTGAGTATTGTCCTTTATTCAACAGTAGCCTGTTGGATACGAAATCTAGTCGATGAAAGCATCACAAAGCACAAGCTTGCCCCTTTACAGGACGAATCTTGGTGATTGTCACAATACAATTTCAATAAAAAAACACTAACTGGCCACTACGTCCTGGAGCTTCTAAACAAAAAATGAGATCGTGAAGAGAGCCTGTGATATATATATATTTAAAAAAAAAATTGTATATATATATATGAATATATATATATATATATACATATATATATATATATATATATATATTATATATATACATACACACACACACACACACACATACGAACGTGTACATACGTAACTGCGTAGTCACATACATGAACACATACTCGCAAAAAAAATACACATACATGTAAATATGCGTATGCGTGCGGAGCTACAACTGAGCACCTTCACAACCGTAAAAACTTATGAATAGTTTTACCTTGCGCCCTCGCTAAGTGTTTGTAGAGCGTCTCCATACTTCTCCTGCCCATAATAGCTGCAACGAGTGAAGTAATGTCAATAATATGTGTTGCGATTGTGAACTTTGCAGTGATAAAATTGCCTATGTTTTCGCTTCTAAACATATTTTATAGCAATTGGTCCCCGAAGAGATTCAGTAAACACGCATACTTACCAGAAAGATACTTTCACATACTAATTCAACTACAAAACGTAGCATTTGTGCTATACCGTTCCACGCGATAAAAAAAATCAATAAAGGATGAAATTTGTTACGCAAAAGAAGATATATACCCGAAGTGTGAAATGCAACTGATACCCCTCGTCGTGTTCGCCCCTTGCTACTCACCCAGACAACTTCTTGAGTGGTACTTTTCCGAGCATATATTTTCGTCCATTCAAAGACATTCCACAGCATATAGCATCCCAAGTAGATACATCAAACCCTCGTGAACATAAAAATTATTTGTATATATATATATATATATATATATATATATATATATAGATATATAAATAGATATAATAATAAATAATATAATATATATATATATATATATATATATATATATATGCATACATGCATACATACATACTTACATACATACATACATACATACATACATACATACATACATACATATATATTCGTAATTATGTATGGATACACTAAACGTACCGGAAGTACACCGTTCGGTACATCTGATGCGCTTCATAGTACTCGCCTCGCTCTACGCTTTCAGATAACTTTTTCAGGGTACTTTGTAAGGCACGTGCCATGCCTTCTCGCCTTTGGCGTCTACTCCCGGCTCTGCTCATATTCCTGGGATTATTATATCTGTACTATGTGTGCTCTTTGATCTACAAGCTCCTACCTTGTATGATCTATTAGACTTGTAAAGAATGATTTCAACGACAAGAAGTAGTATGACTATTGTGGTTACTAATTCATTTCCTCACGGCGAAGTTGTATACTAGTTTTACTGTTTTTCCGTCAGTAGGCCCCACTCCTGTGTCCGTGGCAAAGCTAACCTCATTACGTTTTACGTTATTGCACAGGTGAAGTCAATTAAATTTACGTTCATGCTCAACGTTTACTTCACGTTGCTTCTGTTTGTTTGACAATACTGCCGGATGTATGTATTTAGTGGGCTTCGTAGGTGCAACATTTATTTTCATTAATAAAAAAACCTTTCCAATTTCCCTCGGTGTTCATAGTTGTTGGTTTCAGACGCTTTCTTGCCCACTTTTAAAAAAATACTTTATATTTACGTTTACATTTCAACGTATGGCTGAACTCCCAAAACGATTAACGGAATAAGGCTTCGCGTCAAAGTGTCACCAAACATATTTTGACAGCTGCTGGTAACAGCGGTAAAGTCAGCTGATGGAAATTGTCAGGTCTCACTTTGTATAGATATAGATCTCTATAGTATTCTATCAGCTCATCAATGGTATTCTATCACATTCCGTCCCCTAATAAAGTCATTGTAACTATGCAATACTTCAATATAGAATTCATATATATATATATATACACCATGAATTATGAAACTCTATTCACTGCTTACTTAATTTCAAGACGCTCTATTCATAAAGACAAATGACGGGGAACGTTGACAACAATGTTGGGGATGTCATCCCCACAAAGCCGCAAGTGATACATAACAAGGCAAGTTATTTTTTGTTGGAATGAACAACCATAGCCTACTAAATCAGACACAACAGTATTCGTCCATAGTGTCCATATCACGTTTCAGGCTACGTTTTTAGGACCTATTGGCCACTGCGTACTATTTCATTGTTGAAGTCAATTTTACGACACTCGGAGCTCTCGCGGCAACCGATGATATATGAGTGTTCAGATGGCACCATTGCAGTGCTTACTTTACAGCACCAACACAAGCACAGCACCAACACAAACTCAGATGCCCAAAGCGCGACGATAGAGGTCCATATGCATATTAAACTTCACCTGTCCGAAGTTAGTCGTTCAAAGCGTCAGTTTTTCAATAGATAGCTTATTTTTATTATATATATATATATATATATATATATATATGGTGTGTGTACACGTGTGTGTGTGCATGTATGTGTATGTATATAAGGACGTGTTCTGACAGTGATCGTTTGTGTGTATACATGTATGCGGACGAAATCTTTCGAAATATATTAATACATACACATATAATTGAATACCTACTTTGATATCAAAATATCTAGCATACAAGAGATCTGCAGAAGTCCGAACAGATTCATAACCATCTAGAAAAAGCAGAAATTATGGAAGAACGGACATGTCCGTAGGACACAGATTACATATTTACGCTCGAAACTCTCGGATTAGTGAGCAGCAATGGCATTCATTGAAGCCTCCGATACTGCCGATTATGCCCACGACCATTGTACACGTAGATGAACGATTATAAAAACACACAATGACGTACTACACAAGACTATCAATTATCTCTGTCAAATTATGCCAACTGATCCTACCTTTTCTGTGGAAGTCTCATAATACGTATATATATATATATATATATATATATATATATATATATATATATATATATCAGGACAGGTTGTAGATGCTACAGATATGGTTTCTCCTGTATATATCCGTATATTGCGGAGTCATCCCTCCCACAAATTACAGTCATGGGCCAAGTTATTTAGTTTGCATATGTATATCAGTTTACACTGAAAAACGCAGGCATCATTCCCACAGATTACAGCTACAGACTATGAACGGTTGCTCGCAGCGTGCGCAAACGACAAGGCGCGGGTGCTTGGCGGAGCCAACGATGATCTGTGGGCCGCAGAGAAATACAAGCACTCGCATGATGCGTCATACCACGAAGAGGCAGCTCCCGATCTGGTGGTCTACCCTCTAACGACTGAAGAGGTACCTTTTATGTGTGTTCGAATAAATAAACTGTTGTACTTTGTAGTTCATATGATACCTATTGGATTATATGGCATGTGGTTGTTTGTTCCCATGTTGAGTGGTGACGCATCCGCGAACGAAAGCTGGGTGTCTAAATTGATTTTATATATTCTTAATACACATTTGAGTTCATTAGTGATATACAGTTGGTTCATACTTGGGGTGCGTCGTCGTTATGTACTGAGTGCTTTGTTTTAGTGGATATACCGCCGATGACTTACAAGTAGATATATTTCTGGCGTTTGTGCAGAAGCCACACTTGACGTGTCTTTTTCGGACATCCGTGTGCGATATTCAAGTTAAAGGAAATAAGAGTATATATATATATATATATATATATGCGGGATGCATACCCAATGTGCAATATGATGGGGGTTATAAATGATCCCACGACCATTCACGCGATCTACATGTTCACTTCGAGCACGACTGTCAAAATAACGAAAGTCGCTCACGGCCAGATGTGTTTTGCTCTGCTTCTTGTCACATACCAGAGTATTTCACGGGATAAATATGTAGGTAAAGAGATTGAACACTTTTAAGCAGTCTGTTGCTCTGCTATTTTGATATTTATATGTGACTGTACAGTTCCTACGGTCGAACTTACTGGCACAATACTGCATCCATTCACTGTTGCAGACGTCGGCAATCATGGCGATCTGTCACGAGCGTGGCTTACCGGTCACGGCTTCTGGTGCTCGGACAGGTATGATCAATACATTTCGCTTTCATTTCTTGTGTGCCTGTTTTTCTTGCGTGCAATATGAAATCGCTGTTCCTTCATAGATACAGCATATCAGTTGCTATACACAATCTGTACGTTGAGCGTTCTGTTGTCGTTTACTTCTGCGCCCGCATACTGACACTGCCTTGGTTAAAGGCTGATGGCGTTGAATAGAAAAGTTGAGGATAGACTTTACAGAACACTTAGTATAGTATATTATACTTTATAAGCCTATGGGAACATCCTCACTCTTAGCATCGCTAATGATATCGTGTGTGAGTGTACACGTGTGTGCGTGCTATAGCAACTGCAATACAGCACTAGTAACGTATGGACAATTATGCTAAACAGGACTAGAAGGTGGGTGTATCCCAGTTCAAGGTGGCGTGACTTTAGACCTCAGCCGAATGAATAAAATACTAGAGCATCACGAGGCCGACGCGCAGGTATCGAAAGTTTGATATATATATATATATATATATATATATGGGTGAGTGTATGTGTATATGTATGTATATAATGTATACTATGCATATATATAGACGCTATCTATATGTTTCATATTGTTGTGCGTAGGTATTTCCGTAGTCAACCACAATGACAACGATTCAATTCGCAATGTCATATTTTCTTCTCCTATTTGACCGCAGCTTTCGTAGATTTATCTCGCGCTGGCACCCTTACCTACACACGCTATATCAGGTGACTGTACAGTGTGGAATTATGAAGAAGGACATGCAGGAGTTTGCTTCCGAGAAGGGAATGTTCTTTGCCATGGACCCGGGAAGTGAGGCCAGTATCGGTGAGTACACGTGCAACTACAGCGCCTCTAACATTTGTTATGTATACTTGGAAACGTCAAAGTACTTGCATACGTTTTGCAATCTTTTTTTTGACATGTTGTTCTGAATTTCTCAACCTTAGCTACTTTCAGAGGGTTTGTTATTAACGGCACATTTGAGAATATCAACTGTATCTGACAGAATTGCATCCACATTCCTTGTATTTAGGTGGCTACGCTTCAACAGGCGCATCCGGTACATTGTGCACGGCCAAATATGGAACCATGCGGGACAATGTGATTAGAATGAGAGTTGTGCTGCCGGGTAAGCTATTTTCACGACTCTCAGCTTTTTAGTGCGATTGATACTTTTATCGTGCATAGGATTATGTACGACACATGGGGATGTATGTGTATAACTGGGCTTGCCTGGTTCTTTGAACATATCTGTTTATCTTAAACACACTTTGCATTTCTCGTCACAACCATCAGACGGACGGACATTCTGGACCCGGCAGCGTGCTATAAAGTCATCTGCTGGATACGATTTAAACCACCTATTCATGGGTACAGAAGGGTCTCTGGGTATTATAACCGAGTTGTGCATACTCTTGCACCCTAAACCAGCCTCCATGGTCGGTGCGGTCGCTGTTTTCCCCACTCTACGTCATGCGGCCAAGGCGGTCATAAAAATTCATCACTCAAGGTATCCCACGACTTGATTTGCTTTGGTTTGTCTCTCGTGAGGCCCGTATATCGTTAGCATTTTGGTTTTTTCTGCTTATAGCGTGTGACCCGTATATCTTCAGTCAGCATTTTGGTTTTTAATTATGTGTTCTTTCCTCATAAAAATATCACCGTGTAAGCGTGTCAGTATCCCTGGATTGTATTTGCTATGGGGGAGCAGTTGTTATTCATATTCATAAAGTAAAAGTGTTTAATACAGTTATGCATGCCCAATTTATAGGCCGTCCTCCTTGGCGCGTTGCGAATTGCTGAACACCATTGCTATTCGGTCGGTCAATAATCTATTCCCCCAGCAATATGAAGAGACTCCAACAATATTCTTTGAGTTCCACGGCACCGATGAGGTATGAAAGATCTCATTTGTGAATGCAGTGCCAAGATGTATATGTTTATAATCTTTGTATATAGCATGTGTGTGTTCATCGAAACATGTGGAAATTTACCTAATATTCGTATTCATTACTTTTATTCTGATACTTACATCCTGTATGAATGAACGTTAGACGTATAGTTCCTGTTTTATTGCCTATCTGAGGCTTTTGTGCTAATGGTTGGCCTCTCATACTCTGATATATCGCAGGGAACAACAGCAATAGCCCATGCAAAATATATCGAGAGTCTGTGTGATGACGCAACTTCCTACCGCCTGGCTGAAACGGAAGAGGAGAGAGAGAAACTATGGGAGGCACGAAGAGGTTGCTACTTTGCATCTTTCAAGGTATATTCTTAGCTTGATTTTAGGTGCGTGTTATCGAGTCTCACTTTGTGAAAAGAATATCATATATATTTATATATATATATATATATTTGTATGTATGTATATGTATATGTATATGTATATATATATATATATATATATCTATATCTATATCCATATTCTCTGCTGGTTCTCCTCACAATAAGAACAATAATGTGGTGTAGTCGTACGATATCC